TTTTGTTTGGTTTGGATCAACGCTGGTCCTATCGGCGTGCATTCCACCGTAAAGAGAATGCAGCATGTGGACGTAAAGCCTGTCTACCAAGTCAAAGACAAAGTTTCATCATGGGAATTGCTTAAAAGCACATACTTTCTTTGTCTCCACAGCATATTTACGCAATTGGACTGTTTCTCAAAAAAATGTGAAAGGTCACATATTGTTCCTGGTATGAATACAACACATTTTAGCATTATAATGTTTGGCGTTTTTAGGGGTGAGAGACACCAGGGTTTCATCAAGTCTCCGGTTGCAAGATTCAACCATTGGCGTACAAACGACTTGAGATTGAAGGGCATCCCAAGTCCTGCACACTCCGATGGCAAGAGATTGACGTTAGCATTCCAGTCAACACTTGGAAAGCACTAACTTGGAATAATGTCCTCTGAAGTGGCTGTTGATTGATAACGTGAGCAATAGGCAACATGGATGGTTTGGGTGCAGTAATATTTCATACACCTAAATCAAGTCGGAGCGTATTTTTTCTTTTTTTTCTTTCACTTCCTTTCATTGCCTATACAAAGATACAGTTTTCAGGAAGGGGGAAGCGGCCAATCAAAGGGCTGCCATTCAACTCATAATGAGGAAAGTCAGGCGGTGGTGGTGGGATTCGAACACATCCCTGGGGTGATAATTTGGTGATGTTACCACCGGGCCACTACCGTTCGAATTCATTGGTGCTGAGCGTCAAAGAATTCCAGTGAGTATCATCTCTCCTCAGACGTGCAACAATGTAATCCTTTGTGGACTCTCTAGCATCTTACGATCCGGATGAATCCATGGACTCCAGGCATGGATGGCGCACTCCGCTTGAGGTCGAATGTATAGTGTGATAGTGATAGTGATAACAAACATGGGAACAGCGCTTGTTTAAATTAATCAAAGGCTTGCCTAAACAAGCCGATATTCTTCACAGCTGCGGTAGAAGCCCTGGTGCAATTGATAGAGCGGTTAGGGTCTTCCTGAACAATGATACGTACGAACTTCTCCTTTGAGGCATGTAGCAACTGTTAATTTCCGAGGAAATACAAATATGTGCTGCAGGCATCTCCCCAAAGGATAGCTCCCCAAGATGTGTAAAGGTGTGCCTTCCCTTGTTTTTTTGGAGAGATTACACGCATTAAGATCATATTCTACTAATTACTACTATATTCTAGGGAATTTGCATGTATGATATCAATTACTACAATCTCGCACCCATCCATGTCGTTCACTGCTCACGTTGCTGACTAAGAGCCAGGGACATCCTTTTAAGTTAGTGCCTCAAGAATATAAAGAATATAAACTACCTTTAGAGCGTGCACCAATTGGAACGCTCTCCTACCTCACATCGGTTGTGCACCAACTGTTGAATCTTTCTATCGGATATCTAGTGAAACGCTAGCACATCTCAGAGTTCAGTATTGGCAAAACCACATTATACGATGGATTAAGGCTGTACCTTGTGATATTTTTACACTAAGAGTGCCAAATTCTACTACTTTCATCTAACTAACATGTTATGAGGTTCAGAATGTTTCTAACTGAACAGTACTCCTGAATGCCAATGCCGAGATGAGCGAGGTGTGATGCCCTTAAGAAGCTGGCAAAGATGGATTGTGTTATCTCATGCACAGGTAAAATGGGAAACGGTTTGATCAATTGTCTGGGTAGTATGCTTGCCTGTGAGGCTCTAGGTTAGAGCCTCAGTCTGGTCGATAGATTCGGAATGCTGATGAGACCTAATCATGTCGAAACATCTATACATTGCTTACCAGTTTTTCAGTTCACGATTCATTTGCTTACCACAGGATGAAACCCATTGTATAGACGAAATAAATCCTCCACTACATTCATATAACGTTTCTCATGTTTCACCCGGAGGCAATTAAATTCTAGGAGTATTCTACGGAACTGAAAAACAATCAGCTTTGTAAGTAATTCCCATAAAAACGACTTTGGCATCAGTTCTACGTACGTAGCATACACGGGTTCATACAGTACCAGGATGCGTCTTGATGTTCCGACTTCTTGAAGCAATCTGGTTATTGTGTTAATGTGAGAAGTCGAACTGAATAACGCACCATGCTTACAGTTTGTTTGAGATTAGACTGATGGGACGGAAATGATCGAACCTAACATCTGACGGCCGCATTAGACTCATTTTTGACATAAATTTTCACCTGCACTCTATCACTCTAATTCGCTTTGTCTGTTTGGAACTGTTTGATCAAAAAACAATAAGCAATATCAAGCACGAAGCTTACCACCCAGTTTCTCACTTGTTGATTTATTCGGAATTTGGCCAAATTCTTTTTGTTTTGGACATTTCTGCTTAATTTTATTACACAATCTGACCTGTTCTTCCGGACAGTGATGCTGATGATGGCCATGGTGATGCTGTCGACGAGCCGAGTGATGAACAGGATCAATCCATTCGGTGAATTCCAAGTCTGATACTATATACGGGGTGTGATCCAATTCCATCGAGCTGGAACGCGTGAGTTTGTTTTGCTGCGGTGCTGGACGCAAGCAGATAGGACCGAAATCCGGCTGTTTCGAGCGACAAATCAATGTGGGTTTGGCTTGGTTTGGCAACAACTGACCGATTGTGGAACTTTGATACGATTCTAATGTGCTGTTCAGCGTGGATCGTGTGACACTGCGAACAACAACTCTTTGTTGATTGGCCGGAGTCCAGATAGACGGACGTTTATAGGTGCGAGTGAAAATCGGTGCAATGTGGGCGGTCGGGCCAGGAGGAAACTCGGTTTGACCTGGTTGATGTAATGTGTTCCGGCTTCTATTAATCAGTTTGCTAATCTCGTAGTCCGAGGTAGTCGCTTGGGGCATAAGGGAATTGTTTCGCGAGGAACTTTTCGGAAGCAAAAAGCTTTGACCGCGAAATCGTTGGGGATGGAAGCATTGATGATAGGAGCAAAGAAGTACCAGGCCAACAAATATGATCACACCAATACAACCGACCACGAGGATAGTTGATTCTGGACCGGTAAGCTGTGGCCAGGTATGCTCGGACGAGTCGTTCTCTGCAGAGCATTGTTTGATGTTGGCAGAACCAGTCCGGAATTGCGAAGCATATGGGATAATGGGAACACGGAGGAGACCGAGATGAGAAATTTGAGTCGCGGAGCGCCATTGATTTTAGAGATTCTCTATCTGAGTACATCCGTCCGAGAAACACGTAAATTAGTGCAGTGATCAGCGAACCGATCACTGTAAACAGGATTCAGTTTAAACCAAATGAAAAACTAGCCTACAATAGAAATAATGATAAAAATGGGAACAACAGGAACAACAACGAAAACAAACTGAAACTGGAAACGCAGTCGCATATTGTTCTCAAGATCACAGGACTTTCGACTCCTACAGTAGCATCTATCGAAAATATGTATCATCAGTAGCATGTAAGAACATGTTCAGTTCCCAATATTTTCGTTTAAAAAGAAAGCAGTTTTTGTTGCAAATTTGACGGAATAGTTATGCGTAAGTACTGAGCTGAGACAGACAGAATGTTAAAGAAACAAAGCTTTGAATTCATACCGAAGTCTTCAGAAAAGCTTTTAATGAGATGGGATGTTCGTTTAAAATGCGGCTACCCCGGGGACAGACGTAAAACGGGATAGTTTGTATAGAATGATTCAATAGATCATTTTGAACATTTTTTTAAAGACTTTCGGAAAACTGATGACATTTATGGTTGCTATTCTAAAGCAAGTATCATCGTACGCTCCCAAAACTGTCCGCACAATTCGTGACCTCATTCAGAAGTCGAACTGAAGTCCCATTTACCTCTGTTTTCATTCGAATGCCACTTCTATTTGATTATTTTGTTCACTTCGTTCGCCCGTTGCATGATATCTGTAATTTACGGATTCGTAAATTTGATTGCATTTTATCATCCATAATGCGCCTCATTAGAACACATCGGTAGTGAATATTCACTTTCCCGTCGGAGCTTTGAACTCTGGACCCGTCGCATGGGTAGTGTGTGAGTGGGTAATTCGGGTCAGCCCCGGTGGGAACTGGTTGGCACAGTGGTAACACACACACCCTCGATGCGAAGGGTCCGGAGTTTAAGGCCCGGACGGGATGCTGGATATGCGCTAACGTTGAGCTTTCATGAAGGGTGATCAATCCATATCACTACTACTGTTACTACTACTACTACTACTACTACTACTACCAATAATACTATAACTACTATTACCAACAATAATTATAAAAGTGATAATTATAATACAGAAAAATCAAAACTGTATAAACGCTTTTCAAAACTATGGTACCGGCAATCATTACAAGAAACAAAGAAAGAAACGTCGTTGACAAAACTTAGAATAACTTTGATAACATATGCAGCAATAATTAAGGCGTTAAATCACTAAAAGCTCGTTAGCACTCATTCTCCAGACACCGCTAGACAGTAAAAACAGTCATCTTGAATATACCTCGAACACATATTAGTCCATTAACGGATTCAAAAATCATTTTACATTATACAATTAATTTCCTTCACAGAATTATGTTTATTAAGGCCGATTGATTTCGACTTGAACTCACTCAGTCTACGTCCTCGACCGAAACTGCCCAGGGCTTGTCGAGTTTGTGCCCTGCGGTCACTGATGCGATAAGTCACACAACCGACATTCTGTAAATCCGTGGGTACCAGGTGCGCGCCAACCAGATCACGCAACAAATGCGACGGGATTTGTGACGGTTCGATACGCAAGCTTGGTAGTTCATCTCGCGCGTTGTGACAGTGAACGATTCCGTCACACTGAAGTGATTTTGGAATACAGTAACCTGGTGCAGTCCGATCTATCTGTTCCAAACGTTTTGTGCGCATCACGTATGCGCCGAGGCGAAGTGTGTGTGAGAGGATTCGGGACTTTTTGCGACTGTCCTGCGTTTTGTTCATTGTGACGGAAGAGCCTGAACCACCAGACTGTTCAAAATCGTGCATATACTCTTTGGCCAATTTCTGCGGAGGTTGTCGGCCACAGAAAAATTGATCGGATTCACAGTTTCCATCTGGTGTGGCTATACAGGAATGATAGAACAATGATGATAAAAATTCTCGATCGTTTAAGTTTTGCTAACCTTCAAGTAAGGTTTGTAAAACCTTTGAACAGGCTAACCAGATCTGTACTGAAGACGTATATCGTACTTGACTTGGTCGTAGTGTTTCGTTCTTAACAGATCTGGAGGATCTGATGATATTTTGAATAACCTGTTGATTTACAGTATAAGTACTTTAGGTCAAGGATCCCATAACTTTTATTCAGATCAAGGGTCACACTAGGGAGGTTTGTAATCAATTCCCTCGATTGATAAGCACAATCGAAACAACTTTTTCTATCAGGTAATGGCCGTCTCGGTTCATTGGTAATTTATTATACTACTGCTGTCTCTACTATCACCACCAAAACACAAAAAGGATTACAAAAATATTAATACCAACACTCAAACTGCTAAGGAAATGGTTCCAGTATATAAAATAGAATAACTCAGTCGCATTTACCTGGATTCAATGAGTACGTGGATTCCCAATAATATACCACATTTGAAATCTGTATGGTTTTACCTTTCCTCTATTTCTACTTGTCAACTTCCTATCTGCTGTGCTCAGATTTTGATGCTTTTACGCTTTATTCGGTCACTACTACTATTATTGATTTGAGTGTTCAACTCATTTAAATCAGTTACAACGATAATCATTCTGATATACCATCGATCGCTGGCTCTTGATGCTTTCGAAACATTCTGTATTATCTCCGCCAAGCTTTGAGTTGGGGGTAGAATATAATGAATGACGTATTGTACTCAACAGATTGCTCCAGACCAAATCCGGTCCAGCAGTGATTGATAACCCAGACGATTATGATCTCAGTTAGCGAATACTATCAAGCCTCGCTAATATCACTAATATCCGGTTTGGCTTAATGTCAATGTTACAGGATCTGAATCTTGTATTGAAATCAAACTTTAGGTTTACGTATTTTTACATTTTCAGGTCAAGTTAAATCAATAAATTGCTTTGGTACACCTATAGTTGTCATGTTCATCAGAATTTTTTCACGATTTGTAACGTTGCATTATAACTACTAAAAGTTCCTTGGGATATCAAATTCGTTTTTTACCATTTCCTTATATGTAATACCTTTCTACTCATTACATCACCCCGTAAATACTAGGAAGGTTTTTCAAACACTACCATTCCCCGTTGGAATTGATGACAGCTAAATGCTATTGACTTGTATGATGCATTGGCTTAACGATCGCTAACATGGATTCCACCATCACAAATCCACTAGGGACCTGTCGATATAAAAGGCACGCATTTTTTCCTCCCGTGGCGTGCTTCATCTGGTCTCTCTCAAAAGGTTTCGACCGATTATGGCAAAACGGGATGAAACTTCCAGTGTTTGGACTATCCCCCTACTTTTCATCACTAGAATACGATGCTTCCTTTTTGACCCTCCAATCTCAATTCATGTTGAGAATGCAACCTTCAAGGAAATCCAGGGTCTCACTAGGCTTCCGGCTTTCTGACACCCTCATCGTTGACCGTTTATGCCAACCTATTGATCCTATCCATGTTTTGCCGGTGATATCAACCTGAATTGTTCTTTGCCTAAAACACTGTTCTGTTCCCATAACCACACTCATCAACGTTTTTTACACGTGTTGCACTCAGTGCGCTCAAACTGCATTGCAACTCCTGTTTATTTCATCCCACACATTGCACGGGTTTACTTGACTTTCACTTTTCCTCTTTTATATTTTGGTCTTTTCATACAGTTAAATTTGTGTCACGTGCGAAGCAATTTTCCCTCATCTCTCGCCTTCTCACTATTTACAAGGCCAAAATCCGTCCCACTGTAGAATATGACAGCCATGTGGATAGCAGGAGCCTCCTCTTCTTCGTAGGCACTTGTGGACAGTGTTTGACATAAAGTTATTCGTCTTGTCGCGAATCTGTCCTATCTTCAACCATTAACTCATTGCTATGCGTTCGGTATCCTATTCATTTTCTACTGTTATTACCACGGAGTTTGCTCCGAAACACTTTGTTTGTGATACTCGATTGCAAACACTGAGTTAACCTCACCAGGAAACCCTAAATTCCTGTAGAACAGTGGCATTTAAATCCACTTTTATTCGAGAACCGCGAAATCACAGACAATTTTCGTACTCTCCTTCTTCCTCCCTCATATACCTTTTCTATTTTAAAACAGAATGGTCAAGTCGCCCTTTGAACAAATGTTCTGCACGGTGGTTTTTATGACTGTGGGGTACCCTCTTTAATGTATCATGACTGTCGTGTAACAAAAAGATTCATACTTGTTTGCACGACTTGCTAGGTGGTGGTTACAATCGATAAGCATTTTCCAATGTATGTTCCTTGGCTTCGTATCAACCGGTTATTTTTCACTCTGTAAATATCAATATTTTGGTGATCATGTTTCGTGACTTGTGCTTTAGTACTTTTACCAGGGTGCAACATTAGCGAGGTGGTCCCAATAACGGCTCCAGGAATAACAAACCCATATCTTGAAGATTGGCGCTTCTATCAGCGTGCGACAGGGGTGAGGTTTAATTATATTCAAAAAGTTGTCGACAATCAATAAATTATTGTATATGTTCATCTGACAAACGCCGACATATTTACCGGGTCCAGTGAATCACAAGCAGCCACTGTAGAAGCATGAACCAAACTGATAATCGAATGTGGGAAACTTCTTTGATAAATAACACTTTAATTGGCTAATGCCTGATAATGCAAGATAGCCTAATCTTCTTTTAGAGAAATCACTCTACACCCGTCATTTCTTGTCAAGATTAAACGTAATCTCTGTCACAGCTTAGTGAATGAGCCTATTTTGGGGTCCGACAGATCCGAGAATATGACAGTGGACAAATACCATGAAGCGAAATGACGAGTGCGGAATAGAACACCCAAAGGTAAGGCAGTATCATCTGAGACAATAGAAACTGCATGAATTACGCTTTCTAGGCAATGGGAAAATACATTTGAATCCATTAATTTCAGATATAACATAATCATCGAGACTGTGGTTTATGCGTGTTACGTGACGTGACCTGATGCACAAAATAAAAGTGATCAGACATGAACATATTAAAAATTACCGGATTTGACAAAGAATCCATTTAGAAAATTGAGATAGTATTGTAAAATGGGTTTGCATGCTATAAACAATTATTATTGCTGAAACTGAATGGTTTGTGTCACAGACAGAAGATATAAAACGGGAATAATTTGGTGAAATTCGTCATGGGAATTTCTGTCTACTTTTTTTCTCTACATCACTAATAACATCTCTCGGAACTCAGTAAACAATTGAAAGTTCTAACCGAAAATAGATTATTACCGTACACAATGGGGACACGTTGTTTTCAACGCGCGGAATTGTGAGTTATTAAACTGAAGAAAAAAGTTTTCCTTGGACTGAGTTGAAGAGTCATTTTTTTGCATACGTGGATCTTACAAGTTGCAATGATCCTCTGCTAGTTGAAAATCTTTCTCAGAAACAGTGAAGCCTTTTGTATTCTTGCATGATTAGTCATGATCGATGGATGAGTGCGTTGGATGCGAAAACTGTGAGCCCAATTCACCATCCATTCGGTCCATTAGCACNGAATCTTTTGAGGTTTGTGTTTTTGGCAATAGGTAGTGCTGTTTCGTTCATTAGTCAATGTCTCTAAACTCGTGGGTGAAGCAGTGACATAGTTTCAAATATAATTAATGTAGACTGACCATCCTTCAAATTTAATCATCACGCACAATCTTCAGTTCACTCAGTTAATCATACATTCAGGAGGCACTAGACTCCAGTTTCGATCTCATTGTAGACAAGATTGTCCGAAACTGCATTTCAGTCCTAATTTGATGTAAGGCTTCCGAATGGAGTTAACAGATAGTAAACTGTGTCTCGTTTCAGTGTTGTCCTGTCCAAGTAACTAATTGAAAATTAATGAAGACGACACCTGAACAAACATGAATGGGCAATTCTGATCAACCGCGATGAAAGCTGATTGACACGGTGGTAACACACATGCCTTCCAAAGTTCAAAGTCCCAACGGGACGGTGGATATGCGGTACTTATGAGCTCTGACGAGAACGAAAATCGATTTTAGTGCTTCCCGGGTGTATAG